TTTTGGTGGACAACAAGTACATGCAATTGGAAAAATATCTTTACAAGTGGTCTTTGGAAAAGGCACTAATGTGAGAAAAGAAGAGATAGTATTTGATGTGGTCGATATGCCATATCAGTACAATGCAATTCTTGGAAGGTCAACAATCAATATTTTTGAGGCCATAATACACCACAACTACATATGTATGAAGCTCCCAGGACCAAGGGGAGTAATAACGGTCCGAGGAGAACAGCTTGCAGCAAGAAAGTATGAGCTTCAAGGAACACCAAGTGTGAAAGGAGTACATGTGGTTGACCAAAAACAGGGAGAATACATAAAAATACAAAAGCCAATTCCTGAAGGGAAAACAAAGAAAGTACAGTTGGATGAACATGACCCTGGAAAGTTCATTCTGATAGGAGAAAACTTGGAAAAACATATTGAGGAAGAAATCTTAAAGGTAGTAAAAGAAAACATGGCTGTATTTGCATGGTCACCAGATGAGTTGCAGGGAGTTGATAGAAGTCTAATTGAGCACAACCTAGCGATTAAGTCAGGATACAAGCCCAAAAAACAAAAATTGAGAAGAATGTCTACAGACAGACAACAAGCTGCAAAAATTGAACTTGAAAAGTTGTTGAAGGCGAAAGTCATAAGAGAAGTGATGCACCCAGAATGGCTGGCAAATCCAGTGTTAGTAAAGAAGGCAAATGGCAAGTGGAGAATGTGCATTGACTTTACAGACCTCAACAAGGCATGCCCAAAAGATGATTTTCCTTTGCCACGGATAGACCAGTTGGTAGATGCCACAGCTGGATGCGAACTAATGAGTTTCTTAGACGCATACTCTGGCTACCACCAAGTTTTTATGGTGAAGGAGGATGAGGAAAAGACATCATTTATAACACCATTTGGATCTTATTGTTTTATCAGAATGCCATTTGGTTTGAAGAATGCAGGAGCGACTTTTGCCAGGCTCATAGGAAAAGTCTTGGCTAAGCAGTTAGGACGGAATGTCGAGGCATACGTAGATGACATTGTGGTAAAGAGTAAACAAGCATTTACCCATGGCAAAGATCTGCAAGAAATGTTTGAAAACCTGAGAAAATGCTCAGTTAAGCTTAATCCAGAAAAGTGTGTTTTTGGCGTTTGAGCAGGAAAGTTACTTGGTTTCTTGGTGTCCAAAAGAGGAATAGAGGCAAATCCTGACAAAATCGCAGCAATCCATCAAATGGAGCCGCCAAGAAACACAAGAGAAGTGCAGAGGTTGACAGGCCGAATGGCATCTTTGAGTAGATTTCTATCTAAATCAGCAGAAAAGGGATTACCCTTCTTCAAGACTTTGAGGGGGGCAAACACCTTCGAGTGGACTGCTGAATGCCAACAAGCTTTCGATGACTTGAAGAAATACTTGCATGAAATGCCAACATTAGCAAGTCCGCCAAAAGGTCAACCTCTGTTAATGTATGTGGCAGCAACTCCAGCGACAGTTAGCGCAGTTTTGGTACAAGAAGAAGAAAATAGGCAAGTGCCGGTATACTTTGTCTCAGAAGCATTACAAGGACCAAAAACACGATACTCAGAAGTAGAAAAGTTGATTTATGCAATTGTGATGGCTTCAAGAAAGTTGAGGCATTATTTTCTGTCGCATGACATAACAATACCATCGGCATACCCGATAGGAGAAGTGTTAACAAACAAGGAAGTCGCGGGGAGAATAGCAAAATGGGCAATGGAACTCTTACCTTTTGACCTGAAATACATATCAAGAACAGCCATAAAGTCACAAGTACTAGCAGATTTTGTGGCAGAATGGACTCCCAATGAGGTAGAACAACAGGAAGAAGTCGAAAAACCATGGATAGTATTCTCCGATGGAGCATGCAATGCCGCCGGAGCAGGAGCCGCTGCAGTTGTGAAAACACCAATGAAGCAAACGTTGAAGTATTCTGTTCAATTAGCTTTTCCTTCAACAAACAACACAGCAGAGTATGAAGGCGTTTTGTTGGCTATGAGAAAGGCAAGAGCGCTAAGGGCTCGGCGGTTAATAGTCAAAACTGACTCAAAGTTGGTAGGAGGTCACTTTTCCAAATCCTTTGAAGTAAAGGAGGAAACTATGGCTAAATATCTGGAAGAAGCAAGGTTGAATGAGAAACATTTCTTGGGAATAACGGTAAAAGCCATAACAAGGGAAGAAAATGGAGAAGCTGATGAGCTAGCTAAGGCAGCCGCAACAGGTCAACCATTGGAAAATTCATTTTTCGATATAATCACCCAGCCAAGTTACGAAAAGAAAGAAGTAGCATGCATACAGAGAGAAGGAGATTGGAGAGAACCGATCTTGAAATACCTTGTCAGTGCACAACTTCCAGAAAAGGAAGAAGAAGCAAAGAGAATACAACTGACGTCCAAGAAATACAAAGTGGTAGAGGGACAGTTGTATAAAAGTGGAGTTACTGCTCCTTTGTTAAAGTGTGTAACAAGGGAAGAAGGCATGAAGATGGTGGTAGAAATACATGAAGGCTTGTGTGGAGCTCATCAAGCACCACGGTCAGTGGCTTCAAAAGTCATAAGACAAGGAATCTATTGGCCAACAATTATGAAAGATACAGAGAAGTACATCAAGACGTGCAAAGCATGTCAGAAGTTCGGTCCAATGACAAAAGCACCACCCAAAGAACTGCAACCAATTCCGCTAGTCTGGCCTTTTTACAGATGGGGAATAGATATAGTAGGTCCTCTTCCAAGAGCGAAGGGAGATCTGCGCTTTGTCATTGTTGCAATTGAATACTTTTCAAGATGGATTGAGGCAGAAGCAGTGGCAAGAATAACTTCTGCAGCAGTACAAAAGTTTGTTTGGAAGAACGTAATATGTCGATTTGGAATCCCAAAGGAAATAGTATGTGACAATGGAAAGCAATTCGAATCTGGAAAATTTCAAGACATGTGTAAAGGCCTTAATTTGCAAATCAACTTTGCCTCTGTAGGCCATCCTCAGACAAATGGAGCTGTGGAAAGGGCAAATGGTAAAATCATGGAAGCTATCAAGAAGAGGTTAGAAGGATCAGCAAAAGGAAAATGGCCGGAGGACTTGCTATCAGTGCTTTGGGCACTAAGAACCACGGTAGTAAGGTCGACTGGCATGACCCCTTTCAGATTGGTTTATGGCGATGAAGCAATGACTCCAAGCAAAGTAGGGGCACATTCTCCAAGAATGATATTTGACCAAAAAGATGAAGAAGGAAGAGAGATAACTCTTGAAATGCTAGATGAAATAAGGGTTGAAGCTTTAGAGAAGATGGCATCATACATAGAAGGAACAAAGAGCTAGTACAACCAAAAAGTAAAGACAAGGCCGATTAAAGAAGGAGATTTAGTCTTGAAGAAAGTGCTCAATGAGGTAGCTGTTGGAAAACTCGAGTCAAAGTGGGAAGGACCATTCATAGTCAAAAAGAAGACAGAAACGGGAGCATTCAAGTTAGCATATCTTGATGGTGAGGAGTTAAAGCATACTTGGAATGCTATTTCTTTAAAGAAATTTTATGCCTAAAAAAAAGAAAAAAAGAAAAAAAGAAAAAAAAAAGAGAAGGAGAGAGAGAAAGAGAAAAAGGAGAACACGGGAGCTCGAGTTTGTAGTATACTCACTCAGATGTAAATACGAATGATATCCAAGTTAATGTATATAAACAGGACGTAGGGTTTTTATCCATAATGGAGGCCCGAACCTGTATAAAAAACATGCCTCTGTGTATGATTGCAATAGAACTCCGCATGCTCGGAGTCAAATACTCTCGACTAACAAAGTCGACAAAATAGAACTCCGCACGCTCGGAGTCAAATACTCTCGACTAACAAAGTCGACAAAATAGAACTCCGCACGCTCGGAGTCGAATACTCTCGACTAACAAAGTCGACAAAATAGAACTCCGCACGCTCGGAGTCAAATACATTCAACTAACAAAGTCGAGAAAATAGAACTCCGCACGCTCGGAGTCAAATACATTCGACTAACAAAGTCGACAAAATAGAACTCCGCACGCTCAGAGTCAAATACTCTCGACTAACAAAGTCGACAAAATAGAACTCCGCACGCTCGGAGTCAAATACTCTCGACTAGCAAAGTCGACAAAATAGAACTCCGCACGCTCGGAGTCAAATACTCTCGACTAGCAAAGTCGACAAAATAGAACTCCGCACGCTCGGAGTCAAATACATTCGACTAGCAAAGTCGACAAAATAGAACTCCGCACGCTCGGAGTCAAATACTCTCGACTAGCAAAGTCGACAAAATAGAACTCCGCACGCTCGGAGTCAAATACTTTCGACTAGCAAATTTCGACCTCGTCACTCCTTCGAAAGGTGAGGAGGACGGCGGTTTTCGAACTATTTTGCCTTAGTCCTAAAACCAGCTCAGGAATGCTCGAACTCTATTCTCGTTCGAGCTCAAAAAGCGGAAAATCCGCGTGACGAGGTAAAACACGTTTCGACCTCGTCACTCCTTCGAAAGGTGAGGAGGAGAGCGGTTTTCGAACTATTTTGCCTTAGTCCTAAAACCAGCTCAGGAATGCTCGAACTCTATTCTCGTTCGAGCTCAAAAAGAGGAAAATCCCGCGTGACGAGGTAAAATACTTTTCGACGTCATCACTCCTTCGAAAGGTGAGGAGGACGGCGGTTTTCGAACTATTTTGCCTTAGTCCTAAAACCAGCTCAGGAATGCTCGAACTCTATTCTCGTTCGAGCTCAAAAAGCGGAAAATCCACGTGACGAGGTAAAATACGTTTCGACCTCGTCACTCCTTCGAAAGGTGAGGAGGACGGCGGTTTTCGAACTATTTTGCCTTAGTCCAAAAAACCAACTAAAAAATGCTCGAACTCTATTTTCCCCTCGCTCGAGCTCAGAAGGCGGAAAATGCACGTGACGAGATAAAGTACGTTTCGATTTCGTAACTTCTTCCAAAGATAAGGAGGACGTAGTTTACCTGAGGGTGCTTGAACAATTGAAATAAAGAGCATTTATAAAGAAAAGAAGAAAGGAAGGGTTTATTTGATGTTAAGAAGGTATAACAAGTTACATACAAACTCTACAAAGAAGAAAGAAAAGAGTCGGGATAAACAATGTTGAGAGGAGAAGGCATTACTGTATATGGAACTATTGAATAACGCCTTTTCCATATTCTACGTTGGCGTTCGGATGGTTGGAAGTTTTGCCAAAAGGCTTTACTAGCAAGATTATTGTTCGAACGCCGTTCCCTAAACTCAAGTACAAAGTCACGTAAACTGTCATGTCGATGGCTTCGTTGCCATCGGAAAAACTTAAAAGCAAATATACAAGTGTTATCATAACAGGCTTCGAGTTCGTCATCGGAGATGGTGGTCCTGGTAGAAGAAAGCTTTGCAGGGTCTCGAAATGCTAAGTGCTTCACATTTCGAGTAGGCAAAGTGTTGTTGCGTCGAATCACAAGTTTTCGATTCGAGTTAACCTGCAGCCCCCCAAAGAAAGGGAATTTCCGTGAAAAGCATGCAATAAGAGAAAAGCATTATAGTCAGCTACACTATAAATTTTTACAATAAAGGCTCTCAACCATAACGGCTTTGAAGCAGCAAAATAGCATTGTTTTCGAATATATGAAGCATCCTTAACTATTCTTTTCACGAACGTCACACCTGTGCGCTCGAGCTCGGAGTACTACTGTCTTTATCTTGTTGGCTCCAACTGGCCGGCTGTGATTTTGATCTTGAGGCAAGAGATGCTCGGAGAGACCTCAGGGTATCTTCATATCCTTTCTTCTTCCAGTAAAGCACTTGGAAAGCCTTTACGACGGGTTGAGCTGCATCTCGAAGCTGTGCATATTTGGCCTCATCATTAAGCATACCTTGGATATCAGCTTTAAGGGTGGTAAAGTGTTCACACCCATTTGAAAGCAGACAGGCCGAAAGGCTCTCCACAGCAGTCTTCGAGCAGCGAGATGCAAAGGGAGTAACGCTATCTTTTAGCCCAATGGAAAATTCCTCGAACCATTTTCCCACAGCTGCTAAGGTATTTTCTTCCGATAGCAAGCTGATGTCAGCCCCTAGACTTCGCAACGCGATTCGAACGGTCTCGCAACTTTTCAGAAGAAGTTGGCGGCAATTTTCGCTCTCGAGCTCTAAAGCAGATATCTTCTCGTTTTGATTTTTGCAGGCGAGTTCAAGTTCTTTATTCTTCTTCTCCAAGACCTCAACTTGCTCTTTCATCTTGTCTTCTGATTCAGCGCGTTGTCGTGCGACGTCTTGATACTCGATGATTTTTCGCTCGAATGCTTTTTCACGAGCGAGTAATTTCTTCTTTTCCTCAGTAAGCAACTTCTTTTCTTCGGAAAGCTCTTTCTTTTTGCCGCTTAACTTGCGCATGAGATCGGTGGTGATTTTCTTCTCGTCGGCCATTCGATCAAGTTTGCAGCGAAGATAATCCCGATCTTTTTCGAGTTTAGCGATGCGATCAAGTGATTTCTTTCGTCGCGTGCAAAGAGCTCGAAGAGCTTTCCGAGCAACACCACGTTGAAGACGAGCAAGGCTCGCAGTCTGCGCATCAGAAAATAGGTTTTAACGTCAAAAAAAAATAATAATAATAAATAAATAAATAATAATAATAATAAATAAATAAAAATACCTGTGCAGCAGATACATCAAGTGCTGTCCAAGAGGACATAAGATCATTTTCTTCCAAAAACTCCTTTTCAAGATCAGGAGTAATCAGAATTTTCTCGAGTTCATCACTAATCGAACTCAGGGGGTGGCGATACTTTAGGTCATTCAAACACAAGTTTGGGCCATGATGGCTACTTTCCCCGAGTTCATTGAAATTAGGAAGACCCATAAGCCAATGTCCATCTTTTGCGCATCGTTCGCTAAAACCACCAAGAACGTTTTGTATCAGCTCTGGGGAAGGGGTTGCGATGAACGGCGGTGACGGAGGTGGAGTTGGGTTCGAACTACCTGTAGTTCGAACACCTCCACCAGCAGCACTCTTCCCTGCTTCGGTTTTTTCGGCTGCATTGACGGGCGTTTTTGCCTTTTTTGCCACCAAGTCTCTATCAGCTCGAAGAGGGTTTGTTGTCTCAACAGTATCACCCACTTGGGTCGAACAATCTTCCTCGACAACCGTGGTGGCTGGGGCAACAACATACAGTGAAGCTACTTCTTTTGCCGAAAGGGCAAAACTAGCATCAGCTCGAATTGGGGTGACATGGATGGCAGAAAGATCAATACGGATATCATCTTCATCCAAATCTTCATCACTATCAATAACAAGTTGCACTCGTTTAGAACTCGGTTCAGGAGGAGGACTGCTGGCAGTTTTCTTCCTTTTCAAATCAGCTAAAACAGTAGGAGGAGGAACTGTTTTGCTATCATCAGATTCAGACGAGTCGCTCGAGTTGTCGCTCGAACTGCTACTCGAGTCGCTATCATCACCCGAGTCGTTCTCTTCTTCATCAGCTCCTTCCTCGCCTTCTTCTTCTTCAGCATTTTCTTCCCCAATTTCTTCGTCAATATCTTCCACTTCAACATCATCATCATCATCAGAGGAAGAGGGCTTCACAGATTTCTTTTTCTTTAGTTTGGGGACAATTTCAGGATGAACGCGGACAGGGATATCGGAGCCTAGAGAAGCGAAGACCCGATTTTGCCTTTTCCCGTTTTGAAGTGTCAAAAATTTCAAATGTTCATCCTTGGTATAAGGGCCAAGAAATTTCCGAACTGGGCGGACCATATCCTCTGGAATCACAACTACAAGGAAGAAGATAACAAAGGGAGAAAATAAATCTTCTTAACTAAATCACTTTTTCAAGACAAACAAGGTTTGCAGTTCGAAAAGGAAACTTACGATCAGACGAAACCACAAATGGAGGAAGACTGGAAGGGCAACTTTCGGGGATTTCTCCGAGAGTGATATCCCAGCCGCTCGAAAGAGGACTGCTGACAGTTTTCTTCCTTTTCAAATCAGCTAAAACAGTAGGAGGAGGAACTGTTTTGCTATCATCAGATTCAGACGAGTCGCTCGAGTTGTCGCTCGAACTGCTACTCGAGTCGCTATCATCACCCGAGTCGTTCTCTTCTTCATCAGCTCCTTCCTCGCCTTCTTCTTCTTCAGCATTTTCTTCCCCAATTTCTTCGTCAATATCTTCCACTTCAACATCATCATCATCATCAGAGGAAGAGGGCTTCACAGATTTCTTTTTCTTTAGTTTGGGGACAATTTCAGGATGAACGCGAACAGGGATATCAGAGCCTAGAGAAGCGAAGACCCGATTTTGCCTTTTCCCGTTTTGAAGTGTCAAAAATTTCAAATGCTCATCCTTGGTATAAGGGCCAAGAAATTTCCGAACTGGGCGGACCATATCCTCTGGAATCACAACTACAAGGAAGAAGATAACAAAGGGAGAAAATAAATCTTCTTAACTAAATCACTTTTTCAAGACAAACAAGGTTTGCAGTTCGAAAAGGAAACTTACGATCAGACGAAACCACAAATGGAGGAAGACTGGAAGGGCAACTTTCGGGGATTTCTCCGAGAGTGATATCCCAGCCGCTCGAAAGAGGTCTAATTTTGAGAAGAACAAACTCTTCCACCAGGTCTCGGCAGCTAAATTTCGAAACAAGTTCTTCGATTCGAGGTTGTATGGCAGCGAACTCCGGCGACAAAGAGACTGATGGCTCGGAGACAGTTTTCGGTTTCTTCCCAGAGAACGAAAAAGGACAATCCTTATCATTCAGCAGGCTAAGAGGGATTTGATGATAAAACCACTTCGATTGCCACTTGTTCCCCCATTTTGCTCGAATAGCAGACACAGCTGGCCATGGACTTCCGCGCTTGGGATGAGGAGCAAAGTTTACACACCCAAACTTCGAGTTCTGTTTGGTGTAGTGCCGAGTACAATGGAAGTATGCAAAGTCTTCAGCTCGAGGGGTCCCACCGCAGCTTCGAATCATCCATTCGAAAAGCCCAATTCGAACTAAAGCATTCGGAGTCAATTGAGGAAACTCAAGTTTGAACAATTTCAGGACCTCAACCAAAAAAGTGCTGCATGGGAATTTAAACCCGGCGTAGAAGAAATCCTCAAACACAAGAGTGTATCCCAGCTTAGGAGAAGGCCTTGATTCTCCCACTGGTCGAATTACAACGTTTCGACCAGATATCCAACCAACATCAACAAGATCGTTTAAGTTTTTTTCCTTAATCGAAGAGGCACCAATACCACAAGAAGTATCTTCGTGGCCTTTTGATTTCTTGGACTTCGACTTTTCCGCAGTTTTCTTGTTTTTCCCCATGCTGTGTAGTGAGAAAGGAAGAAATCAAGCAAAGCACCAAAACTCGAATGGAAGAAGGAAGAAAGAGGTTTAGTTCGAGTATTTTGTAATTTCGAGTTGATGGCAGAGCAAACGAGTGGTGGCGTGGGTCACGTGATAGCGACCCCTCCTAGCCTTATATAGCGCAGGGTGGGAAGGGTCGCGGGTTTACAAGCGGACACGAAACCCGAAGCGACGCGACCAATGAAATACCGACATGTGGCATAAAAAACATTTAAAAAAAATAAAAAATAATGAAAAATAATAAGAATAAAAATAAAAATAATGAATAGTAAACGTGGCATATATGCATATTTGAATAGTGTGTTTCGACCGAATAGGAGGACGGCGGTTTTCCCCCTTTTTTCCATAAACTCAAGCACGGTTTCGGCCGAAAACACACATCGCCCTTACCCGTGAGGGGCTTGTTGTAGCAGGGTGCAAACACCTTTTCCTCCAATTCGGTCAAAACACTACGAGGTTTTGCAAGACCTAAGTATCCAGAGGGGAAAACACTCATTTTGAGTGGAAACTACCTTTCCAAGAGGAAGAACACCTTCCCAAGAGGAAAATACCTTCCCAGAGGAAGAACACTCATTCGAATAGAAAATACCTCTTCGGGTGAAGAACACCTTATTAGGGACATTCCATAATCGCTAATACAACTACACATATTTTTGGACAAGTTACAATTTCACAGGTGTTTTCCAAGGATGAAAGAGAAGGCAAAGGGGGAATTCGAATTCCCAGGAGGAAGAAGACGGTCCAGGACGGAAAATGCATTTTTCCCAAGAGTTCGAGGAAGAGCACTACCCGAACAAGAGAAGATGCCAAGGGAAGATTCCCTGGGGACCACCTTCAACCACTCTCGCCAGTTAGCACCTAAAAGACTAAAAGACCCCTGGAGATGTACTAGAATGCCCCCACAGACGCTGATGTGGCAGGGGCATTAGAGTAAACTTACAAAGACCCACAGGGGTAAAAATGTAATCTCGCGTGTACGACCACCGGTTATAAAAGCCAGTCAAAAACCTGTAGCAGGACAATACATCTTGAATACAAAAGTAATCCTCAAAAGTTGTGTTTGCTGTTCGAGCTCATTTCTAAGGATAGGCGGGAAAACACTTCTTTCCGGCCTATCCCCGATCTTGTTCGTGACCTAAGGTCACAACAAAGACATGGGCCTCACTCTGGAGAAAGAACAAAATCCACCGCAACACTCAAGCAGCCAATGCCATTCTCTACCCCGTTTGCGTAGAGGAGTTTAACAAGGTTGATGGGCTTGAGGAGGCCCAGGATATATAGGACACGTTGCAAGTCTCTCATGAAGTCACACCCAGTGTGAGGGAGTCCAAGATCGAGCTTTTGGAAGGAAAGCTTGGGAGGTTCATGATGGAAGATGGAGAAACTCCCCAAGAAATGTATGACTAGATGATGTTGTTGATGAACAAGATTTGTGGGCCTGGAAAGGAAGACATGACAAACCACTTCGTTGTCAAGAGACGTCTTTATATCTTTGCACCAAGGGATCCTACCTTGGTCACTCTCATCCGTGAGAGGGAGGACTTCAAGAGGCCCAACCCCAACCTTACTGTCACCTCCCTCTCCCCAACCCCTTCACTTGTTTCTCCTTCTCTCTTAACCCATGCGATAACAACTGTGACGGGCTATGGCAATGATAATAAATTGTTCTGTGCGACCAGTTGTTTTCTCGATTCTACCTTGGGCTACTCCACCTTGATCCCCATTTTTTCCTCCTCAGACGCACCCTTCAAGTGTAGCAATGTAGAGAAGATGGAGGATACCACCCCACTGGCATGGAGGCGTGGATCAATAGATCCATTAGCAGAGCAACTCTTCTTTGTCGAAGCCACAACTAGCAAAGAACTAGATCTAGTGACAACATGGTGCACTCCCCTCATGAGGAGGATGCCCGCTTCTTTGCTCGTGATTCCGTACATTCTCGAAGGCAGGGGACAACATTGGGGTGACGGCAATGGGCATGCACATGCTTGATCGTTGGATCTGAGGTGTGATAAACACATGGTGATAAATTGACTGTTGTAGACTAAATGGTTCATAAATTGTCTTGATTATCAAGACATGGATGTGGTGCATTTGACCTAGCTGGCCTATGGATCGATCCTGACCTCCTCCCTTTTCATTGTAGCCTTGAGTTCATTGTGTTCCGGATCTAGATGAGTAGCGACCATGGGTGCCGCGACATCAAGCTAGAGATTTAGTGGGCAGTACGTGGCTCAGTATCTCTACTATCAAATATTTGGCGAGGCTAGAAGCTCCGTCACAAATTCCGGCAAAACATTTACAGGTCCTCTTCTTGCTTTATTTGTAGAGATTATGGAATCAACAAGATTGTTGACGACTAAATTTAGCACCAAGGAAAAAATATAGCAAAGTTTGACCCTATTTGGAAAGGATATGTGCCTTCTATACGTGGCTAGTCTGACTGGTGGCACATGGGTGGTCAGTGTTGATGTTCCCTAAATACTAAATTTGACCATCAACTCCTACATAAAAGCAAATGAAATAAAACATAAAACTTATTAGCAGTAGTGTTTATTACTAATTATTTCCTCAAGAGTTGGTGAAAATTTGTATGCAGGCTTATTATAGACGAAAACCACCCGCCATGTGATGAAATATACCTTTAGCCAATCAGAGTGAGTACACAGATTGGAGGGCCCACAAATCAGTGCAAAACTGACACATTTGATGCTATCCACCATGTACCGTCGTGGAATACCCCCTTAGGGATATGCAAATTGACACGATATAACCAGAGATTTTTCCCCTCCGAGTAGGATTCCGGCAATTTATTAACTCATAGAGATATTTTCCATAATTTGAGATAAATTTCTAACAGCGTATACGGAAACGACCCGTACACGTGAGGGTAAACCTTTTCAATATATTTCATAATCCATAGGATAGAGATTATGCCTTATTCGTAATGACAGTAGCCGCCGACTTCAACTTAAATGTCACGCCCGGAAATTCACTAGTAATTTCCGAACTTATTTGTGCATAAAATCCTCGTCCAGGAATCAGCCGAGGTACACAAACTGACAATTTAATATACAGATTCATCAAATTAACTAAAACGATAAATACTTACTTAAGAGGCACTTAGTCCTCACCAAGAAGAAAACTGCAGCGGAAAATAAAATCTAGCGAAGCTCCAGCTCCACTCCCACAGACAGCTCAACTGGGGTATAAGCCAAACGTCTTCTCCTTCTGGATCCTTTTTCTTCAACTAAGGTTGATTGATTATTGCAAGAATGAGCATATGACATACTCAACAAGCCACACAGCAAATATGCAAGTGCACAAGGATACCAAAGGATGGCATAATATAGGCTCATTTGCAAAAGCAGCATTTAGCAAAACATTTAAGAGAAGTAAAACAGTGGAGTAATTAATCAGAAATTTTAATCAACACTGAACAGCACACCCATGCTGCACAGGCCCAACCATCCTAAACAACCATACCCGGCTGTACAGATCTAACTCCAAACCAGGAGCTAAGCAAATTATTACCAGATATAACATCCATAATTATTGTGAGAAGTGTGAGACTAATCACGAAAAACATTGCTCAACCCGCCCATAACCGCGGGCACGGCTATTCGAATAGTTTTACTCTGGCCAGAGGTGTACCACTGTACCCACAAGACACAGCCTCATCATCATGTCTACCATGCGTCGCGATACTGGAAAGTACCCGAATAGAGGCTGTGACAATACCCTTTGCACAACACAACTCACCACAGTGCACCATTCCTGGATCATAATCACCCCCTCAAAAACCAGAGGCATGGACTCCCCAGCGACCCCCGTGGGCTTATCTCCGCCACTTCTCAGTCTGGTGCTCCGCAATGAATCATGTTATACAAAAGGTAAAGCCGTTGCCCACGCTGGCTTGTGGTTGGCACGGTTAATGTTTCACAATAGTAGCTCGCGAAGCGGTCCTTAATTGTCATGAGCACGACTCTCAAAACCATGTGCTCACAACCCACATTATCAAGTTTTAGTTGGCAAGTAATTAATTAACCAATCACGATTGACCATCGTGAACTATCATTAAGCCATCATTAAACAATGAGTCATAAGTTATTCCAATAGTGTGCTAACGTTTCTAAGCATGGCTAAGCAATCATATCTAATATCTAGCTGAACCAATATATAAAGCTCAACTAGTCAAGTTATAATAACCCAAGGTATCAAGGAATAAAGTAATCAATGCAAATTGGCCATAACAAAGGAATAAGTTCACACCACCCAGTGACATTCGAAAATAAATACACAGTTGAAATAAATAGAGAATTTAAATATAGGATCAACTTGCTCAAAGGATTGTGTTTAGGGTCTGTGTGACTTGCCTTGCAATAATCGGTCTTCAATTAATCTTCTTGAATACTTCCGGCGCATTCACGAACCTTCGCAACGACGGAAACGACAAGCTAACACGCAAAACGAAGAAAAAGACTAATAAAAACCAAATAAATAGTACATATAAAGTAAACAAACATGTAGATCATGATTTTAGATGAATTTAGCAACTTGAACCACTCAAAACCGAGTTACGATGATTTAGTTATGAATTTCCGAAGATTTAATCTATTAGAGAAACAGGAAAAAGAAAAAAAACGATGATGACGTCATGATGACCTCATCAATGGCCGAACCAAGATGGCGACCTCGCCGGAGATTGGATGGTCGGCTGCGACTTTCGAGGACAAGAACACGTAGAGGACGACGAGACGAACCCAACGGTACTCACCCTCGAACCAAACGACGAACGACGACGGCCGGCGACGAGGTCTAGCGGCGGCGCGGCTTCGGTCGACGGCGGCGACGGGGCTGCGGTGGTCGGAGGCTTCGGAGAGATAGCGGCCGGGCTTCTCCACCCTCCCGCGCACCTAACGGTGGTGACGGCGACCGGCGGCGACGACGGAGGCGGCGGCGCGACGCGGATGGAGCTCGGCCGGCGACGACGGCGGGGTGGAGCACGTGGCGGCGGCGCTACGAGGCACGGGAGACCACGGGAGAGGGGGCAAACGAAAGAGGAGGACTAGGGGGTCCTATTTATAGCCTTGGATTGAAGAGATCGGACTCCTCTCGTAAGAAATCGATCCGGGAAATCAAAAACTCGGTTTTGGAGATAAACTCGAAAACGAGTTCGATTCGGATAAGATACTCAACTATTAGCTCTGATTTTTGGGGGTAAAGGTAGAGGAGGATAAGAGGAATATTTCCCCTCAACTAATTTTAGAAAAACACAAGGGGAAAGGTCAGATTTGGAGGAGAAAAACCGAGCCAAATCGGTCTCAGTTCGGCTGCTAGAGGTAGAAGATAAACAGTGTTGAGGGACGCAAATTAGACTTTTCGTCTTGGGCTGGCTGAAAACAAAGCAAAGAAAGAAAGAGAAGGGGGAAGCTCGGCTGGGCCGACTTGGGCTGCACGGCCGTGCACACAAAAGAGGGAGATGGGCTGGAAAGGGCCCAAGACTAGGAAGAGGATTATTATTACTTTTCCAATTAAATTAATCAATGAAATGATCTTTGAATTGTTAAAAATACTTCCTATGCTCAAATAATTACAAGAAAAATCTTAAACATACTTGGACACCCAAAGTATTTAACAATATTAAAAAAAGACCATTTAATGATTAATTTAATATGTGGGTAATTACTGAAATGCTCTTTGTATGATTAAAAATTAAGAATTGAGCTCCGAAAAATCTGAGAAAATTTCAGAGAGTGTAATTAATCATGGAGAATTTAATAAAAATTAAATCCATCCATGCTTTATATTTAGGAAATTTTATTTCCCACATTTAACTTCACTTGTAAATTAATGAACATTTAATATAAATTCTAAAAATAATTTATTAAATAATTTATAAATCCTGAAACAAAAATCAGGATGTGACATTAAATGAATTCAGGTTATCGTACGTGACTTCTCTTGATAACACATTGTCGTACTCGCTAGGTCGATCTCGGTTGTCTAACCATAGAGACATGGAGCTATCGACAACACTTACAGGGAGCCCATCGATGCGAATTTTGAATTTAAATTGAAGTATGAACAACGGCCTTTAACGGGTCTCAGGAGATTTCGGTGGCAATCTCTCCCCTTTCCTCGAAATACGAACCATTAGGTTGTGCGCCTATTTAATGGAATTTTGGGATCCATTTCGAGTCTACCCGCCAGAAAACCCTTACTACTCTTCGGCTGCCTCGGACTCTCCGTTTCCCCAATCTTCGACACCTTCCACCGGCGATCCTCTCCCAATGGCAGACCTGGACCAGTCCTCTTCCGGCGCGGCTATGTTGAAGAAGCTGTACACTGAGGGGGCCGTCCCTCCCAAGCAGATCATGGCGAGGGAAGCAGGAGGTACTAATCCTTCCCCCATCCTAGGTCGTATGGTAGCTGTAGATGATTTCATCCGATGCGGTTTTCTACCTCCTCCTTCCGAATTTCTTTTATTGGTCTTGAACTTCTACGGACTTTCTCTCTTGCACCTAAACCCCAATTCCATCGCTTTCTTGAGCATTTTTGCTCACCTCTACGAGGCCTACATTGGGGTAGTGCATTTCCTTGACCTCTTTCGCTTCTTCTATGAACTCCGATGGATGGAAGCCAATCGGGTTTCGGGATGTTGCGGGTTTCGCGTTCGTGACGGCATGAAGGCGAAATACATCCCTCTCCAATGCCACACATCCTGGAGCCAATGGAGGTCGAGATGGTTCTACCTCGAGCAGAAAGAACTTGACCTGGTTCTTGTCGTGCCCGAGGTCCGACCAGAGCGCTTCGAGGACTGGACCTCTAAACCTCCATTGACGCCCTCTCTCGAAACCTTTGTCGACGTCGTGAGCGATCTTCACGAGCGAGGACTAACCGGCTATGAAGTCGTTGAAGACTTTGTTAGTCGACGGATCCAACCGCTGCAAGCCCGCGCTCATCCCGCATTCGACTACACAGGAGCTGAGGACGTAACTCGAATTTCTTCGTGGGGTATTCATCCTTATGTTGTATCTTCTTCTTGCTTTTGATGTTGAATTTGCAGATGAGATCTAATCTTATCTTCTTGTATCTTCGTCTATTTCAGACCTTTCTGCCAACATCATGACGCACGGGTCAAGGAGGTCTTGATCAGTGCTGCCTCCACGGCTGACGAGCCACCAGCCCCGCTCTGCGACAAGTCGGCAGTCGAGAAGGCTGCCGCTATCAATGTAAGCGAGAACCGGGTCACCTCGTGTCTTTATTCTTTTAAAGGGCCAAAGTGACTTCAGCTCCTGTAGCCCTTGCCATTGTCGGATGTTATCGGTCCACTTGTTGACCACCAGGCCTCCGCCTCGCTGAAGGAGAAGGTTGCCGACAAGGTCACCAATATCTCCTCCATTCCTGCCATCGCAGGGGGCAGCGGGACGAAGCGGAAGCCCTGGGTGAGATCGAGCGCTCCTGCCAGCTGTCAGTAGAAGTCTGCCGGCTCCGAGGTAAAGCGCACCGTCGTCGCCCTTTGACTTCTTCTTAGAGAGACTGGAATGGGGTCATGATTTGCTATCTTATGCAGGACATGGGCAGTCTGGTCCTCCTCCAAAGAGGAGGACGTTAAAGCTGCCTGCCGGCAAGTAAGTGAAACTCTTGACCAACTCCGTTATCGTATCTTTTGATTTTTGCTGATGATATCTGCTGACCTTGACAGGAAAGCGTCGGCGATCTCCGCGCAAAGCGGGAGTGAGGCGGCGACGAGTGGATCCCCCGCCGCTGTCATCCCTCGCGTGGAGGTCGCTCCGTTGTCGCTGAGTCCGCAGGACCTGCCGCTGCTCCTGTGACTGCGCCTCCGCCCGAAATAGCCACTTGGTCTGACATGGTGGCTGAATGCCACCACCTCCTCGAGAACAGTTCTCGGGCAGTGGCAGCCCAGATGGATCGTGCGGTGGCCCGCGCGATGGCGGCGGACGGAAGGGTGGCCTAGCTGGAGGCGCAACTTGAGGTTGCCCATGAAGACCTTCAAAAGATGAAGGAGATCGTGGCCGGCAATGAGATGCAACGCCAGGGCATGGAGAAGAAGATGAACGACACGCAGGAAA